ATTAAATAATAGTTTATGTTGTTATTAATAAAGTAATAAGGATAAGTGAGGGCATATGAGGAAAAACATAAAAAGGGGTCTAGTGTTACTAGATAAAAAGAGAAAAATAGAGAAAAGTGAAATCATTCTATTAGTACGTGAAATTTGGATGAAAAGAGGCTAGGGCAAGGATAAGGCAAGAAAGCATTCATCCATAGACATTAAAGAAGCAATTTCTAGAAGAATCCTAAGGTAAGGGTGGGTAATGGGTGTCAATTATGAATGATATGAGGGAAGTGTAGATGTAGAGTTTTGATTCTTATTGATTATTTTTTATTATAATGATTATTGATGCAATTGACGAAACTCATTTATCTTGATTTTACATGATTATGTTATGTTGTATTGTTGATGATAATGATTATGCCTTATCTTATTTGTTGGATCATGTGTTCATGAATCATGTGTTAAATATATGAGTTGATGATTTCATGATGTATGTATGATGTTAGGACCTCTAAATAGGTTTTGTAAGTTGTTATAATTGTTACATAATTGTAGTATCTCAAATTCTGAAACTGAAAATTTTTATGGAATCGAATTCAAAGGTCCGGAAGGCCTCAAACTGCGAAAATCGCATGGTTTACCTTTTGTGATAAGTTCGCTAAGCGAAAGTTAGCGAGCAATAGTGAACCTGTAGCGAGTGATGGTGAAATGGACGTAAGGTTTGATCCGTAAGTCCAAATCGAGTGTCGTTAGAAGCATTAGAAATCTAATAATAAGGGCTATAACATGGTAGTGGTTAGTGAGATGTTTGAATATTATCCATGTACCCACTGTACCATAATTGTATTTGATTGTTCGTATGTTGTTTTTAACTATGACATGCTTTGACGTTTTACCTCATAACTTTTGACCCGTAAGTACAAATGACGCCCCGTTTGAAGCGTTAGAAAGATAACACTCAGAGCCATAACATAATAGTGATAGATGAAAGGTTTATATATTATCCCTATATCTACTATGTTTGCGGAGTTGATTGTTTATATGTTCGATTGATGAAATCAATGCATTATTGTGATAATATCATTAAATAATGATGTTGATATGTTGATGCTGTCATGATAATATTGTTAATGTATTAATGATGTGGCTGTGATGTTAATATGGTGTGGAACATGACTATCAAGTTGTGAGAATTATGTGTTGTTATTACAAGATTGTATGTTTATGAGTTTGCATATGTGAGTTGCCGAAGTTGATGTTGTTGTTGTTGTAGTAATATTAATTAATGTTGTGTATGGTGTATGATGTTATGATTATGAGGATGTTGTTAATGATGTTGTATATTCAAATATATGCATGCTATTTTGATGGTGATAATGTTGTTGGTGGCATACACGATTAGAAAAGGGGCCAATGTGTATGTGTTGTTGTTGTTGCATGTTGAGAGTCCATGAATTCATGTTGTTGGAACTTGGTTCTTTTTAGTGAGCCTTGATCCTAAGGTGATGGGTCGGGTATGATTAGTTAATTCCTATTAGGGGGATTAGTGAAGTGTTATCTATGGTGATGGTAACGAGTTTTGGTGATCCTCGATCCCGTTGTGATGGATCGGGTGCAAGTAGCTAATTCCTATTATGGGGGATTAGTGAAATGTTACATATGGTGATGGTAGAGATTTTATGTGCTCTGACTCCAAGAGGGAATCAATCCTATGGTGGGGATCATGGAGTGCAATGAACATGTGCATTCATAATTTGGTACAACGTGCATGTTGAGTCAGTTGTTGGATGCATTGCGTCAGATTTATTGTATTAACATCCTATGTGGCATTGCATGAGTTTTGTTGATGAAATATGATGTGATGATACTTGTGATTGCTATGTGACTATGTGTGAGCTTTGTGGATGAAGATGATATGTGAGCTATTTATAATGAATGAAGGTGTGAGTATATGTTATGTTAATGTTGTTAAATTGTAGACTATAATTGTTCACATTTACTTTTCTCTTATGTTGTTTATGATTGATTAATATTACTCATGCCTTCTGTTTGAGTGTTACCTCCACGTGGGTAACACGCAGATACTCAGGAGTAGACTCCAAGGAAGTAAGTGGAAGTTAGCTATTGGAGCCCGTTTCAGTTTGTCGTTTTAAGTAGGAAATATTCTGCTCTGATTCATGTAACACTGGGTTAGAGTTGACGTTTGTCTTCTTAATTTCTTATGTTGTTTATTTCAAAGTATTTGCTAATAATTTCATGGTGATATTCTAAGATGTTGAGTTGAGTGTTGACAAAACTTATCTTTTGTTGATGTTATGGATGTTGGCGTTTAAGACTCAATTTTAGTTGTGAATTCATAATTGAATTTCTTTATGATGAATCCGTTGTGTTATTTTTAAAAGAACTTGACGTCGTAAAAGCCTCATAAATGAGTATGTTCGATTTAATGTATGTTTTTATATAACCCATGTTATGGAGCAGGATAGTTGTGATGTTTTATGAAGTGTGACACCCTTGTGGTTGTGTTTATATGATTAAATTAATCGTTAATTTCGTGGGATTTTTAGAAGGGTGTTACAGACAATATCTTGTTGCTTATTTGGGTAGGTCGCTTATTGCATTCCATTTGTAGAATTTTTAGGCAGTATTTGTAACCTACACTCATTATTTTGCAGATTAAATGTCAAGTATTACTATGGAAGAGAGGAGGCAGAGGTTGAAGAAACTCAAAGGTGTTGGTTCAAGCACCAACAATCCCCAAAGTCACCTAGAAGGCTTCATCGTCAAGATGAATAAAGAAAGCTGAGGACCCAACTCTAGACTCGCCTAACGTGAAGGCTCAAAGGCTAGAGGAAAACATTATCTTGCTATGGGAAAGACAAGTACTCATGAGCCTTCTACGGGCGATACCTCCTCTCCTCCTGCGACTTAATGGAGTGACATCGGTTTCAACACCCTCCAATTCAAGAGGTCTCATCTCTCTTTTTCCAATGAGTTCCCTGTTGATTACCAGACCTTTCATTCTAAGTCAACTTCAACTGTTGTGAACATGAAGGACAATCTCTTGTTGAGGTCGCTTATGTTGCCGGAGGTCTACTAGAAAGGGCGCGACAAAGTTGTGAAAGAGCTGTAGACAATGCTTATAACAAGAGGCTGGAGCCGCTATAATCCCTTCAGAAAGACAAGGAAAAATAAGAGGATATAATGACAAATGTAAAAGTCAAGGCCAAGAAAATATCTGATTAGAAGGAATCCTTGTAGAAATTCCTAGACGCTGCTCCCATTCGCGAAAAAGAGTTGAAGTAAAAGGCGTCGGATCTTACTGATGAAAGGGTGTCTACTTATGGCATATATTTTGAGCATGCCAAAGAGCAAATCCTCTTCCTATAGCCTAACCTGGAATTGAGCCATATGGACTTTCTCAAAGTCGTTCGCAACAACGAGCTGGTGGGTGAGGAAGTAGTGGCCTCCGCGAAGCTTGAGAATTTTGCCTCCCCTAAGAACGCTTTGGGCGAGGGTGAGGTGAAGGAAGAAGGTGAATCTAGAGACCTTCGTCATTGAGAAAAAGCTCTCTCATAAGGAAGAATGATGGTTTACTTTCTCTGCCCCAAGTGGTTTTATGTTTCTTGCTCTCTTTTGTGGAATTTTATTGTACTTTTTTTTTGTCCATTTGGGGGCTTTTACAGTTTGTAATGAACAAAGGAACCTATTGATGACCCCTTTTATGTTAATTGTTCATTTTGTTATCTTTTGTGATTGTTTTTAAGGTGTTAAACCCTTTGAGGAAGTGTTATCATTGTCCCCATCTTTATAATAATTTGACTACTTGCAAGGGGATTTTGATGAGGATCCTATTTTTAGGAAACTGATATTTGTGGTTATTTCTAAGAACGACAAGGATCCCTTTTGAAGATACATTAAAGTAATCACCTATATGGGCGACAAGGATCCAACAAATTGAACACCTTTATGGGAAACAAGGGTCCCACTCGAGGATCCAACAAACTAATCGCCTCAGTGGGTGGAAAGGATCACACTTGAGGAACCATTCACCATTTACATTGGACACAAACCTCTTTAATTCATCTGAGAGCTCTTTTATTCATTCTTCTCATGTGATTGCATATATAGGCGTAAAATACCAATCTTCTCCTCTTACACATTTAATCTTTGCATGCGCAAACTGAAAGTGTTTTTCCATAATTGTGACTTCCACCTTCTCAGTCTTCCACGCCATGGCTATTCCTCATGCATACCCTCTAATATTTGTGAAATCATATCCATCAAAATTCAAGACCTTGATCTTCTTCGACAATTTACCTAAATCCATTCTTGTTTCCAAGACAATCAAAATATCAAGATAAAACTCTTGAACATACTGCTTACAAACTCATAAGAACGCTTTATTTACTGGGCTTCTCTACAATTCCACATAAAAATCTTCTAATTTTTGAATTCCATAAATAACTATTGTGAGTTAATTTGGAACGAATCGTAGATTAAATATACTAAATAATTCATTTGTGAATTAAATATTATGGAAGAACTCATTTTTAGATATATTAAATAATAAATATATCAAATCTATATAGAATACTATAATTTGATGACTTTTAAACTAAAAAAAATGCCTAGAAACCATTTAACAATGATTTTATGTAAAAAAAATAATTTGTGCGAAATTGATTTTCATTGAAATTAGTGCTATGCCAATTAAAACTGCATTTTGTTTTGACAAAAAAATACTTCCAAAAATATTAAAATATTTGCTTAACCTTGAAACATTCATAAATTTCTTACTTTTCGTCCAACTTGTTCTCACATTTCATTTTTCCCATTCCCATTCAAACAACTGTATCTGTATTTGATCTCTTATCTATTCTTCTGTTGTCGAGTACGTAAAAGGAAAAAAATACAAAATATATTAAAGTGTTTAGTTTCAATTTTCAGTTACGTATTCCATTTCCGATTTCTGATTCAGATTTGTTTCATTCGTTTCCGCAACAGATCGGGAAATGGGAGATAGTGACATTGAAGGCGGTGGCGGTGGAGATGACGGTTTTCGTTCTCCGATCGGCCGTAAGTATCGTCCCGTGTTGGCTAACGATCGTGCTGTACTTGAGATGTCTTCAATAGATCCAGGATCTTCTTCTTCATCAGTGTTTCCAGATCAACCTCACAATCTCAGGTATTGGTGCTCTTCGATCTATATGATTTCAGTTATTTTGATTCGTTTTGGCAATCCGAAATTAGATGAATGTGAACGAATTTCAGTGAAGCTGGTGCTTGCTTTTGACAGGGAGTTAGTTATGGTGTTTTTGCTTAGGGATTGAAGCTATAGTAGTAATTTGATGCTTTTGTTTTTTGTATATTCTGAAGACTATATTTTCTTTAATGTTTATGAAGGAATTGAAACTAGTAATTCAATGTTTTTGTTTTGAAGAATGGCTTCTTTTGACTAGTGTTCATCTTGTTTATCAATGTTTTAAAAAAGTGGTCTGTTACCGCGAGCGAAAACCACCGGGATAAAATAGTATCAGAAGGTGCCGATACTGATACCGTTATTATTATTATTATTATTATTATTATTATTATTATTATTATTATTATTATTATTATTTTTATGATAAAGAACAAATTGTGATTAATTCACTGTGACGACCAGACACAGTCATTAACAATTGTACCGATCGAAATCGCGAAAGTCTTTACGCGACCTTGATTGTTATTTAAAATCTTGTTGTTTATTAAGAAAAATTGAAGTTAATTGTTTGTGATTAGTTGATTTCGGTTTTTGATTTTTTTTGTCCTGTTTGTTTTGGAGTTTGGCTTTACTGATTGGTGTCATTGTTGTTCTTAGAAAAATAAATGTAAGTTCAGATGCTAAAGAAGGGAACTCTCCTCGGCAAGCTCAACCTAATGGACCCCAGCAGGAATCTAAACTGGAACTGTTTGGATTTGATTCTCTTGTCAATATTCTTGGTCTCAAAAGGTACTTTACTTGCTAGCTACACTCTGAATCCTTATTGATACTACCGTTTCCAAGTTTGCAAACTACTGCTGATATTGTTGTTTTGTGCATGGATGATATGATTTTTTCTCTGCTGTTACTATTGTTAACATTCAATAAAAGCATTTAAATGACATTTTTTTGATGTTTTTTTTTTTCTTTTCTAAAAGATTAGTTATTATTAAAAAGGATTAAACGTAGTTTTAATGGAAAAAGAGCTTTCTGAAATGAGACAGACAGGTCTTATTTTATTATTTTTGTACCTGAGGGGGGTGTCTCAGGTCAATGTTAGTCGAATTTGGTTTTCGTTTAGTTTTAAACCTTTTTCTTGGTTCTCTTATGCTAAACATTTCTTATGGACTATATCGTATCCTTCCCCAGCATGACTGGTGAGCAACCTGCACAGCCGTCTAGTCCTAGAGATGGTGAGGATATTACAGTTGCTGCTGGGCTGCCAAAGGTATGCTAATTTCTCAAGTACAAGTTATACATCCATTCAGTTTTATCATATTCATCTTTAGTCATTGATACTGAAGAAATATATCTGTTTATAGTTTGAATATACCAAAAGAAGAAATAGAAAACTGGAAGCAAACTTTGTCCACACTAAAATGTCTACTGTTTGTATGTACCTCCTATCTCAAATATTAGCAATAAAACTAATATACTCTAATTAAGAATACTAGTTACTCCCTATGTCTCAAATTATAAGTCATTTTGCCAAAAATATTTGTCCTAAATTATAAGTCGCCTTACATTCCCAATGCAATATTAATGACATTTTTCCTGATATACCCTCAAGTATTTATTATTATTTATTCTTTCAACTCTTTTAATTTCTCTCTCATGTGTAATTATGAGGGACATTATTGTAAAGTTATACATAATTTGTCTTTCCGATAAAGTAATAATTATGTTTCTTAATTCGTATGAAATGCCAAAAACGTCTTATAATTTGGGACGGAGGTAGTAATTGCTTCATTTTCTGAACATAGAAAGGAAAATAATTGCATTCTTCACATTGCTCTTCATGGAACTTGTTTCATTTAAATAAAAGAGTTATTGCAATCTTAAATTCTAAATTAGTTGCAGGGTATTTCAGAACAGTATCATTAGATAGACTGAAATTAGTAAGTCTTGCTTATATTTTGGAACACGACAAGTATGTTTTAGTTTTATATTCATTATAAGGAAAATTATTATTATTATTTTTTTAATTTGGCGGTGCTTGCAAAACTATTATGAATCTTTTATGATAAAATTCATGCATAATTACTTCTTTCATATGCTATATTTACATACACACACATGCACATGACACATGTTAGTTATGATTCATGTGAACATATAGTATTAATTTAGAGGAACAAATCTTGACTATTGGGACACACATATGTGGTCTGGATAACTAAAGTTCACATACTCACATTAGTGAAGGGGAGCCGGTTCAAATAATTGAAATTGTTGCCGTGTGGCTAGGAGGTAAGTTTGAATAGGATAGGAGGTAGGTTTGAGTAGCACAATTAACCTTTTGCAAATTCCCTAGACTCTACCATGGCAGAAGTTATATAGCATTTGTTTGCCATTTCTTAGATATGCTCGCATTACCATTCATAGAGTCACATTATATTATATAATAATTGTAACCAGTTTGATTCACTGGTCATGATTCATGGCCATCATTTTCACAAAAAACTTCCCCACACATAAATAAGTACTTCTACATTGCTGGAGCTTTTATTTTCCTATTACTTAGACCTGTTTAGTTCATCTTTTATGTTGACAGTTAAATATAATTTTGTATCTGTTTGTGAATGCAAAAAAAAAGGTGCTTGTAACCTTTTTGATGAATTGCATTTGATCATTTTAATTTTAACTTGATTTTATGTCATGTTTATTTTATTTTTTTCAGCCTGAAGCTCTCAAATTAGGGACACTGATGGGTGTATTCATTCCTTGTGTTCAAAGCATTTTGGGCATCATCTACTACATTCGTTTCTCTTGGTAAATTGCATGTTGCTTTAGATCTTACCTCAAATATTAGATTAGATAGTAAGTTACTAACTACATTCATTCATCAATGTCACCTGCTCTGAGAAAACAGTCAATCACAAGCAAGGATGTCAAACTCAAAAGTCCAGGCTAGGTTGTCAAACTTAAACATCTAGGCAAGGTCCTTAGACTTATAAGAGTCTACTCAATTAAAACATAAGATTTAAAAATCTATAATAAGGTCCAAACATAATATAATACCATTAACACATACCATGAACCCAAATAGCATGTCAACTATGTAAACTCTCACATATCATGAACCCAAATAGCATATTAACTATATCAAACTTGAAAGTCTACGCAAGTTTGTCAATCTTGTAAATCTAGGCAAGGTTCTTAGACTTATAAGAGTTTACTTAATTCAAAAATAATATCTAAAAAATCTATAACAACATCCAAACATAATAATTTACCATTAACGCATATCTTGAACCCAAATAGCATATTTACTATGTAAACTCTCACATTTCATGAATCCATATAGCATTATAACTATGTAATATTAGAATAAGTTGATTATTTCTATTTTCTACTTGATTGAATTGAATTGGTTTTCCTTTTGTATTTGATTGAATTGAATTGGACAATTTTATTACTTTATCATAAGTCAAGTAGCCAACAGTTAGATGTTTTCTTTTCAATAATTGTCATTATTGTAGGATTGTTGGTATGGCTGGCATAGGAGAGACACTGCTTCTTGTTGCTCTGTGTGGCACTTGTACGTTCCTTACTTCAATATCACTGAGTGCTATTGCAACCAATGGTGCCATGAAGGTAAGTGTCTGAGCAAGTGGAACTATTTATTTGATATAAATGCAGTCCTTTTCTTTTCAACATCTGAGTATTAAAATTAACTACACCTTACGAAATAAGCTATTTTTTTATACAAATATTTTGTATTATATTCCACAAGTTGTTTAAACTGTATTTGATAATTAATTTGAAAAAAGAGTTTGTTGTCACAACAAGTAGTTCATGCTAGGGCTGGACAGCGGACGGGTTGGGTTGGATTCGGACCAAAAAACCCAATCCGTCCCAAACCACGGTTCTAAAAGGAAGGTCCAATTCCGCCCATTTTTATTATAGGTTTAGTCGGTTTACGGGTTAACGGTTTTGCGGTTCTTTAGATCGGTTTGAACGGTGAATATTTTAATTTTTTTTATATATTCTTCATGATTTGCAAATAAAAAAATGACAATAAAAAATATAGAATACAAATCTGGTACGAACATCCATAACTGGATTCTATAAATTAACAAAAATTAGAAAGAAAAAAAATGATAAGCAGATACAATTACAACATGAAGCTCCTTGTTTTTTCCTAGATCTTTCTTTAACCATCAATTTTCTCAATCAAGAAGAACATTAGGCTTTAAACAAACACATATTGCTTCAACAATCCATCTTCTCAATCAAAAAGAACATCAGGCTTTAAACAAACACATCTTTCTTCAACAATTCATCTTCACAATCAAGAACAACATCAGACTTTAGACAAACACAACACATAAAGAAGAAGAGGAAGTTAGATCATTAATATAATAATTTCAGTTCAACATTTAAATATATAGATCTAACAGAGAGTGAAGAGATAAATATAGATCTAGCAGAAATGAAAAAAGAGAGTGAAGAGGGAAAGGCGAATAAACAAGAAAACAATTACATGACACATAGATCTATAAGAAATGATTTAAGGTCTTCCAAATGAAGAGAGAGTGAATAGAGAGAAAGAAGCAGTAAGGCAAAGGTGAGAGAAACATAAAGAGACGGCTAGGGTTTTTCTAGGCTAGGGTTTTTCTAGTGATATATTGGTGTTGGAATGATGGATATGTGTGTTGGGCTGTAAAAAATTTCAATCCAACCAAATATATAATTTAAGGCGGTCGGGTTCAGTTTCTTTTGGGTTGAATTTGTCCAACCGAACTGAACCGCCACAAGTCAATTGAAACCGGTTTACTCTTCCCTGTAGACCCGGCAACCGTTTTCTATCTGACCGCATGCAAGTGGTTACTGTGGATCGGACGGATAAAGCCGGTTTATTAAAAAGCTGTCCACCCCTAGTTCATGCTATGAAGCTGGTTGTTTTGCGAGAAGGGAATAATTGAGTATTTAATGTTTTAAGTATTATGTACACAGGATAGAGACTGTTTCAAATTATTTATTGAAAAATACATTATTTTAAGCACAGCTTCGGAGGCATAATTTGATTTTAATGAGAGTAATAGATGAGAGTGTAGGTTAATCGAGTGGTATTCATTGTAAACAAATACAAATTAGTTAATGTTTTACACAAAAATTCCTAAAAAATATTCTGTAAATTGTTTTATCTTTAAATCACTCTTTTAATCTCAAAATAACGGGCCAAATTTAGACTAGAAATATCCTCCCTAGACCCATTCACCGTGGATTAGTCCCACATGCAAAGGATTTGAACTCCTCGTGGTCTTATGAGTATTTGAACTCCTTGAGGGAGGAATAGCAAGATTCCTCACCTGGTTTTGTAATTGTCAATCTTCGATAATGGGTTCAAAATGTAGCATCCAAAGATGTTTATTGTCAAGTTTCTTTGAGACCATGTGGGAGAATGCCGCTGCTGTGGATGCAGAAAGTTCTGCAAATGGAGAAGATGAACTATTGGTGGCAGATGAGAACTTAAGGGTGTAGGGCTCATCAGTGAGTTCGCTAGAGGTGATATAGCATATTGTAAAATTTTATGTGAGAAAATATGAAAGAGAATGGAAAAGAGAATCAAGTTTCTGTTCCAACAATGATTTTCAGATACACCCTAAACATATATATAGAGAGAGAGCTAAGAGAGGGTTAACTAACCTTGGTACAGTTACAACTTTCTAACCATTTGACTGATTAAATTGACAAATGTGTATACATCTATCAGATCAGATAAGTACCTGAGGCTAGCAACTACTGGCAGTAGACATTGAGTCGTGTCCACATACTAAGTCTTCAAAGAGGCCTTTCAGATTTGAATGCTTTATACAGTTTCATTTAGACTGTTTTTGGTTTCCCTTTGCCTCTAATAGTTATGCATAGACACGATACATGTTTTAGATACGATACGATATGTATCTGATTACGGTGATATGCCATTCCTTATTAATTTTAGGATATGATATTATAAATACTTATTGAAAATAAAATGATATAAGGAAAATTTTAGATACGATACAAGTTTTAGATACGATATGTATCTGATTACGGTGATATGCCATTCCTTAGTAATTTTAGGATATGATATTATAAATACTTATTAGAAATAAAATGATATAAGGAAAATTTTATCAATAACTATACATGATTTAATACTTGTAATGTTCTTTGTTACTTATAATACACACTCTTTTAAATTTTCAAAAATTTAATAAATGGGTATTTGATTATGGAAGTCTTAAAAACTTATTAATAAACAATTTTACAAAGACAAAAAGCATGAATATGTTATGCCCCGAGCATGAAACATAATCAACAATAGTTGAAAAAAAGGATAGCTGACCATGTAAGGCCCAAATGTAACCCTAATCCTATCAACGTATTGAAGATGATACGAGATGAAGTTTCATGGGTCAGCACATCATAGGCTTCTTGTCGTTGGACTATCCTCCACTTGATCAACTCTTCATATGACTTGTGATGATTGCTATTGGTCATATTCTCAAATGCCCAAAACATTTGTGCGCTATTCCACCGTCTTTTCCTCAATAAATGCTATTTTCAGAAATTGAGAAAAGGAGTACTCTATCTGGGCTTCAACAATCTTTGTTGCACACGTTGGCTGGTTTAAGTTAATCAAGTTGGTTACTTCTATCTTATATTCCCTGAATAACTATCTGGCCTTGAAAAGAAAAATAAGAAAGAGCCTTGTTTCTGCTGCTTTTTCCAACAATAGTTGTCTGATTGGAATTTCTGTCATTTAGTGGCAACTTCTGTTTGGAGATGGTTATTTTTTATTTTGTTGGAAGTGTAAACTGTCTACAAACAGGGCTATTGATTATGCTATATGCTGCAAAAAAAGGCGCCACATTTAGCTTCAAATTTTAATAAATCACAAAAATTTTGTTTGTTCTTTGAGATTTTTCATTTATTTATGTCTCCAGTTTTATTTCCATCCCTGTGTTTGTCAATTTTTTATTGAGTGTTTACAATATCTTGTAATATAAAGTTTTTTTTTCCCTGATAAATCATTATACAAAGGGTTTTTCTGATTTTCTCTAAAAATTAAATAAATCCATTCATGCACTTCATTTTTTTCCCTGTTCATTTATTAATATAGTCAAGTCTTCTTCTTTTCTTGTTCTTCTCCAGGGTGGGGGACCGTACTATCTCATAGGTCGCGCCCTTGGTCCAGAAGTTGGAGTTAGTATTGGTTTATGCTTTTTCCTTGGAAATGCAGTTGCTGGAGCTCTGTAAGTGCATAATATGGACCTTTTTCTCATTTTAAACAGTTAATGGAGATCAAGCTAGGTAGATGATGAATCAAGTGTTGCTAAATTATGTGTCATCATAGCTTATTATGTACTATGCAAAGGATTCTGAAGTTTCTTGTTCATTGTTGTGTTCTAGGTATGTATTGGGAGCTGTAGAAACATTTTTGAAAGCAATTCCTTCTGCTGGAATTTTTAGAGGTAATGACTAATGAATCTAGACATTGTTTTTTTGTGTAATTAAGTGGTCATTTGTATTTTATTTATTTATCATTTTAATACTTACATGTTATTTATCACCTACAATCGTCCAAATAATTATTTCTGCAAATCTAATTCACCTCAAGACCATTGTTTAAACATTTGGAATTGTATTATTGAGAGTGTTGTCAAATAGTGGCTACAGCGGCACCTTAATGTTAGTGTAGCGGAGTTTGAATAAATCTTTATTGTTGTGTGACGATAAGTTATTTAGTACGAAGTGTTGATGCTATAGCACTAGCACTGTAGCATACCATGATTTAAACAAATACTATTTTTTGCAATCCTTGATTTACGATGTCATAAGTGCCACGTCCAAGGTAGTTAAAATTAAGATTTTATGCAAAATTGGGAAGGGGGAGTAAAGTTGTAAATTGTGGAACTGAACACAAATAGTAAAATCGTATAAAATTCTAAAACTCATATATATGCATATAAAATAGCATTAGTAAGACAAAGAAAACCTTAAATCACTCGAAATACTTGCTTAAATGTAAACTCATAAGCATAGCTCACAACCAAGATATTTAAAACTTTAAATCACACTTCAAATACTTTATGAATTTAAATTCTTTCATAAGCATAATCCAGAAACATTTCAATGATTGTAGATTATACGTTTCAACGACTAATAGGGATGTTTCCACCAAAATGAGATCATGTGTATACTCTTAAATCTTAATTGCTAAGGGCAAGTATGATTGTAAAATTCTGGGATTTTACGATTAGAATCGGGATTTTAACTACCATGGCCATGTCAGCAACCAATGGGAGACCGTCATGTGGCAGGAATGAAAAACAAAATTAATCATGATTACAGGGATCAAAAGTAAAAGACTTACCCAAAAAAAATTTAATTTCAGTTTCTAACTTCAACTACTGCATATTGTTCAGCACAATAAAATAATAAATTTTTGGTCTAATCTTTCTCTTTTTTCTTCAATTTTATCGATCTAAAAAATTATATTTAAGTTGTTTTATTTATTTATTTATTTTAGATGTCAATTTTTATTATAATAATTTTAGCTGTCAATATGACTCATTGAAAGTACTATGGTACTTGCCTTCTTACTGGCCTTACTGCATTTAAAAAAAAAAATACTATACAAACTTGTAGACACATTTAGACTACTGCATTTTGAAAAAATTACTACTATACAAATCTGTACCCACATTTAGAAGCATTTCATGTTTTGGTGGTGAGAACTCACATCTGTTCTGAGAAGATTGTATTGATAACATCTAGCTCAACATCATTAGTATGCAGTCCCTCACCTACTTACTATAAAGGGTTGGAGAGGATATCCAATCATGTGCTAGAACTAAATGGATAAAAAAAACCAAAGTTTTGATACAAAACTGTTTCACCTTAACTTTGTAAGAGCATGACACCAAAAAGATGCACATTAATCATACTTAAGTGAAGTGTAAAAAATAACTACGTCTACCAACACAACTCTTAATTACAACTAGAGATAAATAGTAGTATCTAGTATCTACTATCTAAAAGGCTCCGATGGAAAAGTGTTTTCTACATCAACTTGGCAATAAGCATGTGGCCAGCATCACACATTTTTTAATCATCTCATCCCTCAAAAGTAGCATCAACACGTTAGTTAAAAATATGATCAAAATTAGCATTTCATTAAAAAGTTCAATTAGTATCTCACACGTCTCAGGTTTCTATGAGTTCATATGGTTGGTTGGGGCCTAAAACTCATATCTCACAACAAATGTGAGTTCTCACTGATACCCCAAATATGTCTAAATGTGTGTACGAGGCTGCATATTATTTTTTTTTTCAAAATACAGTAAGTTATGAATGCAAGTACTATAATATCCTACAATGACTTTACTAAATGTCACCCATATGAAAAAATATATAATACCTATGAGTCTGTACGGTAGTATTTTTTTTTTTAATTTTTAAGAATGGATTAGAGCTGGTATGAAGGCAAGTACTATGATACTCTACTTCTGTTGGAAGCATTGAGTATGAACAATTAAGATAAAAACCAACTCAAATATAGTCTTTATATAGAGAAAAGAGAAGAAAGATAAAAAATCTATTATTTGAAGGAGATGCGTGACTTGCATATGTGGTAGTTGAATTCAAAAACTGAAATTATAGTTTTTGGGGTAATTTATGCTTCTGGGCTTTGTCATTTATTTATTTTTTTTTTTATTATTATTATTATTACTATTATTATTATTATTATTATTATTATTATTATTATTATTATTATTATTATTATTATTATTATTATTATTATTATTATTATTATTATTATTATTATTATTTTTGCTTTTGCTTTTGATCCCTGTAATTCTGTTTAGTTTTATTCTTAGTTCCTACCATGTGACAATTACACATTGGATGCTAACACTGAGGACATGTAAACTCAGTTCAACATGGCAAAGTCCAGTCGTCAAGATTTTTTTCACGTCAGTAAATTCATTGTGACTAGGATATCCGAGGACCAAAAATGATGGAATTTCATATTGTGGGGGTGGAATCTATTTTTTCTCCCTCCGAGAGACTAAAATTAAAACTCAGCTCAAATGTGAGGAACAAAGCATAAATAATCCAAAATAAAATGATGGACTTTGTTTTTCCAGTTTTTTTAATAGTACATTTAGTGTTTTGTTTGTGACATGTTAAATGGAATTTAGAGGCTTCAGTAGTTATTGGAGAATTTGTTTTTCAGAATAAGATAAAATTTATTGAGCGCAAGCCTTGGAGTTGGTAGCCATAATTCAATCTCAAAAGCCTTATATGAATTATTTGGTCATATCTCTAGTCATGTGGGATCTCAACATACCCATCACGCCTAGAATATTGAATATGTTGGAGGCTGCAAAAAAAATCACCATAAGTTGCCACAAGGTGCCTGCAGTAAAGGCTGCTGGAGTTTCCTACTCTGCTTCACAACATTTTCATGTCCAAAACTGACATTTGGAGAGTACACAAGTGTGGGTTGTCCAATACTTCATATAAGCTATGATAGCAAATTAAAAGATGGAAAAAACGATGAATGGATATCCTAAAGTTAAGCAGAGAGAATAACAATTGAAAAATATGTAATCAGCTTTACATAAAAAGGGAAATAAAAACTATACAAAAGATGGAAGACATCTCTACAATGCAACCATGCAGAGCCAGCGACATTCTTCTTTCTATTTGATTTTAGATCAATGTGCAAATTGCCATCAAACCGACATGTTTTTGTCATCATATTTGTCCCCGGTGATTATAACTTGGGATGACCTTATTTTGTGCTCCTTTGTTTATGTTGCATGTTTTGCTTTTCTTTTTCCGTTTCTTTTTGCTTTGAGCATATGTGCAAAAGTTCTTTTCTTGGGTTAAACAATTGCGCTGTTACGCGCATGTCGACAAAAAATGGAGCAATATGTTGAATTAGGAAACTTATCATTTAAATAAATTAAATTTCTTTTTCGTTTATTCTTTTTTATTGGAAGTGCAGAGCCTATGACACAAGTTAATGGTACCTCAATTGCGGTACAGAGTCCAAGTTCACATGACCTGCAAATTTATGGGATTGTTGTGACTATTGTGTTATGCTTTATTGTATTTGGAGGAGTGAAGATGATAAATCGGGTTGCACCTGCATTTCTTATACCTGTTTTATTCTCACTCATCTGCATATATTTGGGAATTCTGTTGGCAAAGGAGGATCGTCCCACAGGTTTGTTTTATTCTCATTGTTAACTTGTCCTTTTGCACTTTGTTTAGTATCAATGCTTTGGGTTCATCATAGGATCAAGTTCACATGTAGACCTTTTTTTTCTGCTAGCCTTCGTAGTTTGGTAAGACTTGGTTGATTCTTAGGTGTAACAAATATAAGTTTATTTTCAATATATACTGTACCCTATAGTCTATACAAAATAAATGGGAGACGGAGGCGAATATCAGCAACAGGATTCCAGTAGGAGCATGAAATGGAGTAGTAGTTCAATTTTAATTTTATGATAAAATGTCACTAGTTTAAAGGAAGTTTTTTGTACGTGGCTATAAGATATGCAATATTCAACAAAATTGAATGTTTGGCTGCAACGGTAATAAGAAAATGGGTGTCCCTACATATGATCTGAACGCAAACCCAATTATTTAAGCGTCTAATCATATCCTTCTTATTGTGAATGCACAACAAGACTGGATTTTTCTTCTTGGGCTGTCGTACTGTTCTGTTCTCGTTGTTTGCAATAATTCGATCGGAGCTTCCTGTTTATCTCTTTCTCGGCAATAGCGAGCAAAAGCAAGTGGATCTAAAAATCATAGATGACTTGGGAAAAGACCAAGAGGGGTTCCTTTCCTTGACCTTGCAGGTTTAACATGTACCCAAACAAAAATACATATAGCAAATTTAATGTGTGTGAAAAACTGGCATAACTTCTAATATCTAGTAAAAACTAAGGGTCTACTGTTGGACCACGTGAGAGAGGGCCCATATCAGAGGGGCCCTTAATAGCAATGTTGCATGTGTCTCAATGATATGATGGATTAGTGATCACATAAGAAAGGATAGGATTATGAATGACACTGTTATAGGAAAAAAGTAGGGGTAGCTCCTAATGTACCAAGATGATAGAATCTTGTCGGAGGTGGTTTTATGGCGTTATTTGATCCATCAAGCCGACCTTAGTGAGAAAAGGATTTGAAGATTAAATAAGTTTTTTTGTTCCTATAAAATTGAAAAAATCTGATTTTAATCCCTGGATAAGTTTTACTCATTTTTAGTCTTTACATCTAACAAAAAATGTGTTTTAATCCATCAACAGTCTCATTAGGGACTAAAAGCACACAGTTATCCATTTGTTAGGACTGAATACGAATACAATCTTTCTAGTGACCAAAATCAAAATTCGTCAATATAGTAGGAATAAAAAAATATATTTAACCCTTAAATATTATTCAGTATTAATTAGAATATCCTTTGAAGGACACTGCCCTTTGTATTGGGAAAATCCCAAATCTCACATTGGTTGGAGATAGAGCATTGAAAGAGTTTATATAGAGAGACATCCCTCACCTTACAAGTCAGTTTTGTAAGGATGAGTTGCGTCTCTAATATGGTATCAGAGTATCCATGGGACTATGGGCAGCGCACCGTTAATATCCATGCACCAAATCCAAAAGAGTGTTGGACGTGAGGGGTGTATTGGGAGAATCCCAAGTCCCACATTGGTTGGAGATAGAGCATTGAAAGAGTTTGTATAGAGGGGTATCCCTCATCTTACAAACCGGTTTTGTAAGGATGAGTTAGGTCAAACTTTAATACTCTGTCTATATACTCTTATGGTTCAAGGATGAATAAGACAGCCTAATAGCCATCAGTCTACAGAAAAACTGCACCTTAGGCCAAGCTTGCATTTTACAGTTGCTTTGAAGGTAACATATATTTAGACAGTTGTTACTAAATTCACCAAACCCCCCTTAATACTGTGATAGGATGCATGATCTAGTTTGCAAGACACATGTGTTCAGTTAATGGGTGGGAGGGATAAGGGTTAAAAGGAGTTGGAGGTCCAGGGTTCAAGACCTGAACAAGGGTGTAAATATTATATACTAACAACTAACAATTTGCCATTAAAAAAACACGTGTTCAGTTTGTTATGGAACACGTTATGAAATGCAACTATTCTCCAAATGGATGTAGGGCAAGAGGGGAGGGTAGTGTCTGCTGCTAAACTTGAATAAAATGAGAATATAGACAACCAGGTGAGGAAGGATTTAGTTTTTTTATTTGGGGGGATTGAAGAAAAATGAGTGGAGCACAAAAGGCAAGAGTACTGGGGTAGGAAGGTTAAGATGCTTTCGACCATCCACAAAAAAGAGAATCAAATCCGGCTACGAAATAAAGAAAGGTTACTGAATTGGACTGGCACATTTGTCTTGTTTTAAATTTTTAGGGCTCGCTCACATTGCTCTTGCTCCCTTCATGTTGTTGACTGTTGATTTTTTTTTCTCTTTTTTTATTTAAATAAACTTTACTTAAAGAGTTACACTGATTTGTGCTATTGAATTTCTTTAATTCATTACTTTTTCTCCACTCTGCGATATTTATATCAGCGGGAATTACTGGGTTGAGTTTGGAGACTATTAAAGAAAATTGGAGTTCAGATTATCAAAAGACTAATGATGCTGGAATTCCAGATCCCAGTGGTTCTGTAACTTGGAATTTCAAGTAAGATTTTGTAGTTTCATTTACTAATGTTCCTATATGCTATATCCTCCTTTTATGCTTTATATTATTATATCTTTCATTATTTTTGCATGAAGCGTAATTATTGATGCGCTTTGGATTTTACTTTCTGTCAGCGTATCATTGGTGGGAGAAGTTTTTCAACTGATATAAGTGCTATATGACAAACCTCAGCAAACATTATAATAGATTGACTTTCATTTGGCTAATCTGTACTACCTCCGCTCCTTTTATAAGTTCACTTTGTAATTTTCACATGTGCTAAGAAAAATAAGTAGTGTATTTAAGGTGCCTATTTTGCATATAGATATTTCTAAACTACTCATTTATATTATAAGACAGCTCAGTTTTATTAACTAGCCTTTCATAGCTACAATCACCATGACGGACTTCTCATATTGCTTAAATCTGAATATTTCTCAAGTATTCATAAGAAAGTTACAAGTCTATATATACAAGAGGCTAAGCAAATACAATCCCATAATTCTAGGATCATATCAAAACAAAACTAGCTACTAAGGAATATATAGTCCTGCCTAATAAACACAATAAATTTACAATCAACATTATCATTCTATTCACCTTAATTTGATTTACACAAGGGCTAATGCTTTCAAAGGAAAAAAATGTAGAATTTAAGTCGATTTATATTCAATGAAGTGTTATATTCAGTACAGTTGCTATCAAACGTTTTCCATGGGGTATGGGACCAGCTGGTAGTGGCAAATATTTATGTGTGTGAATAATTCTTTTCACTCTAATTATTTATCATGCACAGAGAAAGCATGATTGTTAATCTTGAGTTAACTCTTCTGTTTTACAATCTCAGAACACACAGATGAGTTAGATAGCATATGAACTCCATTTTAGTGAATGCGTGTATTACTTAAAGTAAACTAAAATCAGTAAACTCTTAGTTCTACTAGTGAGTTTGATTCTGGATTTATACATGGTTAGCATAAAAAATCTATAGTTTTGGTTGATGTTGGGTGCTTTGTTTTGGTTGCCTTTATTTTTTTTCTAAATGTATTGGATTAATGAAGTTACTTTATGTTGGCATGATTATTTATGTTTTGTTTTGCTAAACAAAACTACTAAACAATGTAACTGCAGGCCAAACATAATATAATAAATGCATCAAGTATTAAATTATGCTTATACTATATATAAATTTCATGTCCCAACCTTTGAGTTTAGACGATGAATGTGAATTATGCTAAAGCATATTTTGCTACTGAATATTTTAAAACAATGTATTTGAATTATGTAATCTCTTGAGAGTTTGTGGATCAAATATATGATTTGTGTTTTACTAAGGCTCCACAAGTTTACCTAAACTCTCAAGTTTGATAACCTTGGGATAAAAATATGGGGACTGAGTTTCATAACATTAGAATTTATTAGCATTAATATAATTTAAAACTATTTCATATTTAATGCCTATGCCTCTTGGGATTAAGTTTTAAAAAAATGACTTGTTTATGATATTGAAATGCTCTTTCAATTTTTTAATTGTAATATTTCCCCCAGTTCTTTGGTGGGCCTCTTTTTCCCAGCAGTGACAGGAATAATGGCAGGTTCTAATCGATCATCTTCACTGAGAGATACTCAACGATCTATTCCTGTTGGAACTTTATCTGCAACTCTTGTAACTTCTTGTATGTATCTTATTTCTGTGATAATGTTTGGCGCCATTGCCACCAGAGAGAAGCTGTTAACTGACAGGTACTTTTTTAGTCGAAAAGTTGTTTTAGTTTTTTTTTTTTTTATAATATTAGAATTAGCTCATAATATCTACTCCCTCTGAATGTGCACCAAAGAAATTGCTCATGCTTCATGATATGCACTAACCCCTTTTCATCACTTTAGTTTTCCCTTTAGCTGTTAGTTTGGCAATAACTGTATCAGTAAGTTCCTTGTTTTCTATGCAAACGGACGTATAATTCATCTTGGTTCTAAGCCAGATTCCATGTTCCTTTTTTGTTTTTCTTTATTTGGTGATATATGCTTATAATCTTGGATATTGATGGGCTTTTCTATTAAATGGTTTTATTTTGATTTGGAGTTTTATGCAGGTTGCTTTCAGCTACAGTTGCCTGGCCTTTTCCTTCATTAATTAAAATTGGGATTATTCTTTCAACCATGGGTGCTGCTCTTCAGAGCCTGACCGGCGCCCCACGTCTGCTTGCAGCTATTGCCAATGATGATATTTTACCTATTCTAAACTACTTTAAAGTTGCAGATGGTAGTGAGCCACATGTTGCTACCCTTTTTACTGCTTTCCTATGTATTGGGTGTGTCATCATTGGGAATCTGGATCTTATCACTCCAACTGTGACCATGTTTTTCCTTCTGTGTTATTCGGGTGTCAACTTGTCCTGCTTCCTTCTCGATCTACTAGATGCTCCTAGTTGGCGTCCTCGGTGGAAATTTCATCATTGGAGTTTGTCACTTCTAGGAGCATTACTTTGTGTAGGTATGCTTCAAGTAATCATGTGTATTTCTTTTGTAGATTTACTGCTTCATTGTTTCTTTATCTCCCTGTTTTATATCTGATCTGATGAAATCTGGAAAGCTACAACAAAGACAGAAGAAATATCCTTTTTTGTAAATCTTAATGATTGAAATAAAACTAAACTGAGAGATAATAGTACTCTCAAGACATCATTGGTGAAGCACCATGTATGACACTGTCAATTTTTTTCTTAGGCAAAAGGATGTAGTGAGAATCCCTTTGTTCAGTTTATAGTATTCAAATTTACATCTTAAGTTTTATTTATAAAAGGGGAAAGAGTTGTGCACAGATGATATTGCAACTGTACAAATCAAACATAGTTGTGTAATAACTACTATTAAGAACGCCTATAAATATAATCCAGTAGATGCTTATTACTGCTTCTGTTTCATTTTGAAGCTTGATTATGCGATGATTGTTTGCAATGCAGTGATCATGTTCCTAATCTCTTGGTCATTCACCGTGGTTTCTTTGGCCCTTGCAAGTCTTATATATAAGTACGTGAGCATCAAAGGAAAGGCCGGGGACTGGGGAGACGGTTTCAAAAGCGCTTATTTCCAACTTGCACTTCGTAGCCTTCGGTCTCTAGGAGGTACGTCTTATAAATTCAATCATCTATGCGCTTCAAGTAGATGATATGGTTCTGAATATGGTAATTGGTAACTGTTGATTTCGTGATTATGTATGATTTGATGGTTAAGATAGATTTGGTTGAACCACTTTGATGTTCTCTTCCGTAAGTTAATGTCACACATGGCTGTCTGGTTTGCTGGTGTTTTTTTTCCTCGGCTAGCTTAGTGGAGGTTTTATTAGAGTTGGTTAAGGTGATTTCATCACCATTGATCAGCCCCATTAAGAGGAAAGGATGTGAGGTAGTTAAAACAAGAACTGAGAGTGGCATGAAAGGGATGTGCAAATTTTGTTGAGTGGTTAAGGTTTAGTTAGTTTGAGCAAGGAAACAGGTTCCTTCTTTGCAAAATAATATATATAGTGAAAAGGTGAGAAATTGCAGAGATGGTTTCGTACATGAGAAAGATGTGACCGGTTGGTTTATCCCATATTGTAACCCATATTGTAGGCTGCAGAAGTTTTTAATTCTTTCTCCTCTGTTTTCTGATGTATCCAAACAAGAGAAGTCTGGCTTTTCTACACCACTTTTCTCACTTCAACTTCTATCACGCATAGTTCTGGGAAAACAATGTGTAAAACGCTGCATGATTCCAACCTTGAATCTTAGTACTTGAGATTTTTAAACTTGAATAGCTGTTGTTTTCCAATATTGCATGCTCATCTTTTATTCTATTTTGTCATAATTTTTTTTTTTTGTGTGCATAATATCATACCCATTTGGAATAAGAATCTAAGGAGTTTTATGACAAACTTGTACTGTGGTCAACTTTTAGAAGTATCAAAATATGAATGGAATGTTTTCAATTACGCATAGCTAAAGTTCTAATGCACATGTTTGAAATTATTTCGCTTTGTAACTTGGTTTTCTTTATGTTTGTAGCAAATCAAGTGCACCCAAAGAATTGGTATCCAATTCCGCTAGTGTTTTGTCGGCCTTGGGGAAAACTGCCCGAAAATGTTCCCTGTCATCCCAAACTTGCAGATTTCGCTAACTGTATGAAGAAGAAAGGTCGAGGAATGACTATATTTGTCTCTATACTAGATGGGGATTACCATGAATGTGCTGAAGATGCCAAGACAGCTTGTAAGCAACTTAGTACCTACATTGAGTACAAGAATTGTGAAGGTGTGGCCGAGATTGTTGTAGCTCCTAACATGTCTGAAGGTTTTCGAGGCATCGTTCAGACAATGGGCCTTGGCAACCTCAAGCCGAACATTGTGGTGATGCGTTATCCAGAAATCTGGCGCCGGGAGAACTTAACAGATATCCCCGCCACCTTTGTTGGTATAATTAATGACTGCATTGTTGCAAACAAGGCAGTAGTTATAGTGAAGGGTCTTGATGAATGGCCAAATGTGTACCAGAAGCAATACGGTACAATTGACTTGTATTGGATTGTAAGAGATGGTGGTCTCATGCTACTTCTCTCTCAATTGCTTCTTACCAAGGAGAGCTTTGAGAGTTGTAAGATTCAGGTTTTCTGTATTGCAGAAGAGGAAGCAGATGCAGAGGGGCTGAAAGCGGACGTTAAAAAATTCCTTTACGATCTTCGGATGCAAGCAGAAGTCTTTGTCATAACAATGAAATGGGATGTACAAGTGGATAGTGGGACTCCGCAAGATGAATCATTAGACGCATTTACCAGTGCTAATCAAAGAATTGTTGATTATTTAACCGAAATGAAGGCAAGAGCAGAGAGACAAGGTACCTCTCTAATGGCAGATGGTAAGCCCGTGGTTGTGAACGAGAAGCAAGTTGAGAAGTTTTTATACACAACGCTTAAGCTCAATTCCATAATTTTGAGATACTCAAGAATGGCTGCTGTTGTGTTAGTAAGTCTTCCTCCCCCACCATTGAGCCACCCAGCATATTTCTATATGGAGTATATGGATCTGTTGCTGGAGAATATACCAAGGATTTTGATTGTGAGAGGATATCGTAGAGATGTTGTAACTCTATTCACATAGCTTGAAAAGGATTCTAGGACAGTAATCAAATTTCTATCTCACTGTTTATATTTTGTAGTTTACATGCAGGGCAGGGCTCATTCTTTGTATCAATTTTCTTGATGATGAGGATCTTTTTGTAAGATTTTATAGAAAGATATGAAATTATACATTCATTGACTTTGTTGTAATTATTTACTATAAGATGAGAACTAATGTTCATTATGCTCGATTCCAAAACCTAGTGTGAGAATAATGATTATCTTTTGGTAGATGTTGCAGTCATGCAAAATTAACTCTAATAGTACTAATTACCACTCTCGATGGATGTTTTGGTACGGGCGTGGCAATTTTTTGAGACACAAGTATAGAGGTGCAAATGATTAAGACAAAATCAAAGAAATCGAAATACAAACCAAACTGAAAATTAGGAGTGGCAAAATAGATGGATTTGGATGGATATGAATTGAATTGTTAATAGATGGATTAAAGCAATTCATTAATCCATTAATAGTCCACTAAACTCTCTTAATAAAAATTCAATCCAATCCATCCATTAAAAGATAAAATCCATCCAATCCATCCATTAACATATTTCTATCCAAAAAATTAATTAAAAATTTTTTAATTTAATAAGTGACAACATAATATCCAATGGATTTATAAAATGAGATGGATGGATTGAATCCATCCATGAGTTAGTGGATGGATTGAATCAAATCCATTAAATTAATTTTTGTCTTATGAATGGATTGGATGGATAAATTATTGGATGAATATCATCTAAATGAATTTCATTGTCACCTCTACTGAAAACTATCTGATCTTTTTTGGTTTGGATAAAAAAACAAAACTAAAATGAATTTCTAAAATTACTCTCGACATGTCCAAATAGTAAAATTCCGATCCATCTCATGCAATGATGCCCATAAGGAATTAATCCCTCTGTCTCAGAATGAGTGATCCCGTTGATTTTCCACACAAATTAAGAAAAATAAGTAAATAAAGGAAAAAGAATGATATTTTTACTAAAGTACCTTTATGATGTATTGAAAATGATGAAAGTAATATTAATTAGAGGGTAAAATAAAAAAAAGTTGCATTGAAAAGTGAAATGGGTCACACATTTTGGGACACTATTTTATTTCAAATGAGTCACTCATTATGGGACGGAGAAAATAATAAAAAAAAGGATTGTTATTCCTACATTTTACGTGTTCTTCTCCACTATCGTGAAAAGACTCATGTATCTTCGAACAAATCTTTTCTACACACATTAAACGAAATTGTTGAGAAATTTTTATTCTGTTTAAATTTGGTCCGGAGTTGTATATCCGTATGCACAAAAGCATGCTTTTGAGATGCATCTTCATAACCTTTGGTTCATTAGTCTGTGAGCTTTTTGGAGATGTATCTCTAGAGTATATTCAGTTAGTTTTAAAACAGAAACAATAATTGCAGAATAGAAAACCAACATAAATTAACATCAACATAAACATCACATAGATAAACATTACATAAATTAAACATTAGATGTCATTACAAACAGGTGGTCCAGGGCGTTGCAACATCCTTATAATATATACCGTTTGTCGCTACTGCGAAAATCGGCGCCGGCTGAACAGAAGAGTCGCCACCGTGCGTTATTTATCCCACGAGAGGGAAAGGAAACGCTCAGAGTAAACCTCGCACAACACGGGAGAAAGGTATGGTCGTCGCAACCAAAACCTGGATTCGGGAGTCGGTTACGCAAGGGGAAGGTATTAGCACCCCTCACGTCCGTCGTACTCGACGGGATCCACGCTTGTTTTCGGGTATGGATTGTTATTCTATCTAAACTAAAGGTCAGGGGTTAAAAAGAAAATAAAATGACTCGGCAAAGTATCGCACTTTATGCCTACGTATTCCCGTCTGGAACGAGAAATCAGAGTCAACGTAGTTCGCCTACCTACGGGAAAGGAGGGGAAGGTTGCTCGCTAGGATATCGCATCCTATGCCTACATACTTCCACACAGCATGGAAGATCAGAGCAAACGTAGTTCGGGCTACGGAAGACACAGGTCTGTCTTGATTGATTTTATTCCTTCTGAAAAAGGTTTTTCTGATTAGCAGTCCAAGCGGACAAAAATGACGTTTTGATGAGTTCACATTCTTTTACGGAAGAAGTGTCTTTTATTGCGTTGGAAATATTTATTGTATTTTTCTGTTTGTTTTGAGAAAGAAGAGACGGAACCCTAACCTACGGTTGCGAAGGGAATCAAACTAACCTAATGTTATCATGCATGGGTTAAGACCTAGTGTCTATCATGTTCCTCTCTTGCGCAGAGAGAAACAGAGATCCTAAGGGATAAACGAAAACAGAAACAATAGCACATATATACAGTAAAGCAATAAAATGCATGAATGCAGCAATACAAGCGAGGCAAGGGAGTCTCACTCAACCTCGAACCTAGAAAACAATAGGCAAAGTGAACAGCATTCACTTTCAACCCAACAGGTTAAACAACAAACAATACAGTCAAGAAAACCAATCAATACATCAGAAATGAACAACTACTAAAATAAACAGCTACAGCAGCTCTGCAACAACATCTGTCTTCAAGTAATCTCCAATCAGCTACAAGCTTCAGCAAGCATCAATCTCCATCTCCACAGTCTTCAAGCAATGGCTTTGATCACTAGTCTTCAGTCTACAATGGCTTTTCTTCAAGTCTCAAACCTCCAGGATGAGGGATCAATCACAAGAGTGACTTGGGTGTTAAGCAATTAGTTGACTACCAAGGGTGGCAAACAAACTGCTACTAACACATAAGATATTTTCTCTCAAGAGTTCTATCCCCTAGACAGTAGCACCAAGCCTTCCAAAGGAAGGGGGTGAGTGTCTTAGAGAGACTCTGTATCACAGAGAAGAATGGAGGCAGTCAAGACCTTCCATGTTTGAGAATCAAGTTTACTACTCTAGAGCTCTGCCTAACTCCTAAATCCTACAAACTTCAACAGCTGCCAGCACAGAATTTCCTCATCAACTCTGGAAGTTGGTCTTCATCCTCTGATCTTCAAATGGGCTTCATCATCACAAGTCTTCAACTCTCCCAATCCCCAAGCAATCCCAATACCCACACAGACAAGCAATAATCCCCAGAGGGGCACACCACACCAGTCAAACAAATACAGTATATTAATAGCAGTAGGGGAATCCTAATAATGTCTAAGGGATCTAATAACTACCCATAGTCCCTATAGTCCCATATCTAAAATATTCAATCTCTAAATCCTAAGGGGAATGATCTAATTCACCTATGTTATCACCTAAACCCTAATTTTGTTCATGTTATTCACACCTACACAAACCTTCTAAGATTAATTTCTAAGATTATGAACTAAATCCTATATTCAAGCTAGCATCATCTACTAATCAACCTAGAAAGAATGGATGAAAAATATTAAAGCAACCAATCAAACTAAAATTAGCAAAATCATGTATCAAACACAATAATATTTACACCTAATTAAAAGAAAAATATACCAAAAATATAAAAATGAAATGAACTATTAATTTTTTTGTATGACAATTTTCTTGACAAAATTATGAAAAGCATGCAAAAAGAATCAATGAAAAATAAGCATTTTATGATTTGTTATGATTTTTTGAAGATTTAATGTTTTTAAAAGAAAATAAAATGAATTAAAACGGATGCAGGGTGCAGAAAGTAGGAAATTCAGTTAAAGCAATGAACTGGGCCAGGCAGTGGGGGCGTGAAAAGCAATTGGCACTAGGCCCAGCACGCTTCAGAAAACAAACAAAAAATAAAAAAAAAGTAAAAACGGTGTAACTAGCAATTATTTCAGTTCATTATTGGTTGGGCTTGGTTTGAGGGGGTGCGATTAGTAACCAACATTTGAGCCTAGTCAGCAAACTTAAATGAAACGGGGCGTTTCAAGGTTTGAATTCTCCCTCCGTTTTTCTGTGCAATCGTGGCCGTTGGTTTCCGATCCCAGTCAAAGTCAAACAAAAGATCCAACGCCTGTCCATCATCGTCCCCAAATGGCTCTAGGGTTTCTGAAAGAAACAGTCCCATGCACGCAATCTTCCATCTCCTTGTTCTCTCTCCATTCTCCATGGATGCCTTCGATCCAAAGAGCAAAGTTGCTCTAGAAACTCTCCTCTACACAGCCATAACCATAACTCTCCCTAACACTCACTCAATAGACCAACTCGAAGAGAATAACAGTTGTAAACCACCATTAATACCTGTCATCAACTTCCCCAAAGCTCACCAATTCTTGTCCTAAACTCATCTACACCTCATGCTGATCATAACAAGCCATATATCCAAGATTTTCGTGCATTAAATCATGAGTTACAAACCCTAACAGTTATGGTACACCTATGGCAAACTCCATGAAAGCTCTCCAAACTCACCAAATTCAATCCTCTATCCTACCTTAACCTTTCTATGCTAACAAAACCTAGTAATTCTAACCTAAACATGCAATTTGAAAGAGAAACATACCTGGTGCAATTGATGAAAACAGGTGCTAAATCTTCTTGATCCAAGGCTGGAAAGGAGTGGAAAATGATCAAGGAACTTGATGATGAGTTCTGTATGCAATGAATCGTGCTCCAAGTCTTTGAATCTTCCAATTCCAAAATTCTTGCACTTTGAATGGTGAACTTGCACAGCTCGAATCCTCCTTCAATTTACCAAATTCTTGTGTGAACTATGATCTATGGATGACGATGATGAATACCAGATCAAGAATAGTGAAGATTGGTGAAAGTTTTAGAGTGTTTGAATTGATTTTGCAAATTGAAGAAAGAGTGTGAAACTTGTGTTTATGAGTAATGTGAAGCACCAACCATGGCATGAACCTCCTCATATCAATATATAGGTGAGAATAGAACCTCCTAGAAACTTGGAGAAACTTCCCTTGCACTTTTTCCTTACATTTTGGATTATGTTTCTTCCTTTGTAAGCAACCTTGAATAACTCTCAAAATTTGAACTAACCTCAAAATTC